GCTTCCATTGGTCAGGAACATCGCCATCAATTAGTGCTTTATTGCAGAAGTCAAGGATCAAATCATCAACATCTACCCTCTTCAGTACTTCAGGGGCAACTCCATCCTCTCCAAATGCCTTACCTTCTTTAATCGATTTCTTAGCCTCCAGTTCGGTCTTGGTGAACTTATCCACACTGATGTTTTGTGGTGGATGTACGACTGGTATGTCCACTTCTTCGTTTGGGACTACTGGAGGTTGTCCAAGTAGCTTGGTAAAGTGGTCTTTCCAGGCTCTCAATCTACCCTCTTAATGAAACAGAGACATTTTCTCTCTATCTCTCTATCTCTCTATCTATCTATCTATCTATCTCTCTATCTCTCTATCTATCTATCTATCTATCTATCTATCTATCTATCTATCTATCAATCCATCTATCTCTTTCTATCTATCTATCTATCTATCTATCTATCTATCAATCCATCTATCTCTATATCTATATATTTCTCTATTTTGGATCATACTGGTTAAGTGGATAAAATAAAGACTTTGTCTGATGCTGCTATTTTATTTACTTGACTGATGACTCCAGAATCTACCTTTTCTACCGTTTCGTTTCTTATTTATGTCCGGTGTCCCTATTTATGTTATATATCTTTATTCTTATCTCTTTGTTACTCAACTTACTATACGCCTCATTACTCTGCTTGATTGTAATCCATAGATGAATGCCCTTTTTTGCTGGTCTTAGTAAATATGTTTTAACACAACATGTTCACTGTTAAATCACTGTTTAATAACATATCTATCCATTTTGTGTATGTTTATTCTGTCAAGAAATATTCACTACGAACTGTTTACTTTTTATTGTATGATTTTGTAATTGCTTGATTATGGTGATGTAGGCATCAAAATCAATGCAATTTATGATGATGGTATGATGATAATTTAATGATTGAATTGATAATTTACTCTGAATAGATAATTTATTCTGAATAGATAATTTATTCTGAATAGATAATTTATTCTGAATTGATATTATTGTGAATTGATATTATTGTGAATGATGTATCTTTGAAATATAAGTAGAACATACATATAACATTGCGATGTAAAATGCATTTCGGTGAAAAGCCGCGCCGCAACAGCCGTGAGCGTGTTTTTTATCGCAATGCATTTTCCATCGCAATGTAATATATGTACGGCTTAAGGGTTTGTTTATATATTACATTAAGCCACATTTCCGACACCCTAACCCATTTGCCCTTTCATAATAAGGGATTCTTGCAGCTATCTTATTATACTAATATTTCTAAATTATTTGTTTAAGCGTAATTTGCGAAGAATCCTTAAATTTGAACGTGTCCAAATATTATTCGTCTCTTCGCTTTGTAAACAGTTTGGTTACCGGGAATTGCTCCTGCTGTCAAAACTACAATTTTCCACAACATGATGATAGTTTTGTCCTAGACATTGTCAAAATTAAATTAAACGTGTGGAAGAAATAAAGAACTCTACTCCACGTTTAAATTTTTTTTTGACTTTTTGCCGGGACTTAGTTATTTTCTTGTTTTGGTTTGAGGAGAGATGCTGCTACCGCCGAGTCTACGGGTGGTGAAGTTGGAGGAAGAGCACAAATCGAAAAAATAAAAACCAATAATGAAAGAAAATGTAATTCAACAACCTAATAGCAAAAACTATTGATCAAGTGCAGCTGAAATCAATTTACAATACTAATGGGTATCAAGTCGAACAAACTACTACTACTAATACTATGTCTGAGCTAAGTCCGATCTACGCCAGAAAACCCCCTCCATATATCCCTGTCCCGCATCAGGGTTCGCAGTTCCTCTTTAGAGTTTGTCCCAACTTCCTTCAGTAACATAGACAAGTAGCTTAGTCTTGGTCGGCCTTGCTGTGCTCTGCCGTGCGTAGGTTCCCATAAGACTAAATCACTGGCAAGTAGCTCAGGATGTCGGATGCAGTGTCCCGCCATTTTTAATCTCCTGCTTCGTAACTTGTTTGACAGCCTTGGGAGGTTACCATACAAAGTTATATTGCTGACCTTGTCCTTCCATGAGATACCCAGCACCATACGCAACATCTTTGTGTATGTCCCGTCCAAACTTTTCTCTTGAGCCTTTGTCAGTGTCCAGGTTTCTGATCCGTAGAGCAGTACTGATTCACAAGCCGCTATGAACAATCTAATCTTTAGGCTCTTTGACAGTTTGGATTTCCAGATATCCTTCAGTCTATGTAGGGCACCCACGCTTTTCCCTTTCTAACCCTTATCTCCCTATCTGTGCTCTCAATCCAGGAGCCTAAGTAGATGAAATCATCTACATTTTCTATGGCTTCCCCGGATCGACTTTGTAGGTCGCTAGATCGATCCTCCATATTCAGTGTCATGACCTTGGTCTTGCCTTCGTTTATGTGTAGTCCCACGCTTGCTGCCGCCGATTCTACTCTGAGCAGGAACTCGTTAGCCTTGTCCATGTCCTCAGATATAAGTGCTATATCATCTGCAAAGTCCACATCGGTGATGATCTTGGGCCCCACTCTTCTGCTTTTTCTACGTTCGAGGGTGAGTCCAAGTCGCTCCGCATCATCGCCTATGGCTTGCCTCATACAGTAGTCGATGACTATTGCAAAGAGGTAAGGTGCTAAGGTATCACCCTGTAACACACCTGCAAGTATCTCGAACAATTCAGTTTCTCCGTCTGGAGTTAGGACTTTGGCCATTGTCTTCTCGTACATGAGCCGTATAAGCTGCACGATTTTGACTGGAATGCCGTAAGCTTCTAGAATCTTTAGCATTTTCCCACGATGTACACTGTCGAAAGCCTTCTTAAAGTCTATAAATGTCAGAACAGCTGGCAGTTTCCGACTCTTGACACCCTCTATAAGACGTCTCAGTACCAATATCTGTTGAGTTGTTGACCTTCCTGGTTTCCTGGTCTGAATCCATTCTGGTTTCTACGCAGAATTGGCTTCAACCGGTCGAACAAAATATTATCCATACTGGTTACCAAGTGACCAAACTGTTTTTTTGCACATTATAAGACTTATTATATAGTAGGCCTTAATAGCTCCGCCACGTTTTATACTTGAAAACTGTTGCTTTGCAGATAGCATACTGTACATTCTTGTTCGAGGATTCGGTCGTCAAAATTAGAATCTTTAGACCAATCTCATTAAAAATAAAAACACCTATATCAGTGGCGTAACGTTGCCTGTTGGCGCCCCCTGCCGAAAAAGCGCCCCCTGTTGGCGCCCCCTCCCCTTTTGGTGCCCCTCCCTAAAATTGAACAAAATAGGTGATTTTAGAGAATACGCCGGTAAAATCTCTAAAAAAGTGTGTATCTAGAGCAAAACGCGCAGTTTTGCTAGTACTTTAGTTAAGTTTTCGAAATTGTCCCACATTCAAACGACGATTTGGCGCCCCCCTAAGACGGCGCCCCCCTGCACAGCGGGGTCAGCAGGGCCTTTCGTTACGCCACTGACCTATATTGTTTTCTCTGACGCCTTATTAAATTATTATT